GTCATGTTGGGTTATGAGCAACGTTTATGGCAGCTTGATTATCACAGTGTAGCATCATTGGGGTTTCAGCTTGGATCCCAATTTCTGATAACAAATACTTCAACCGTAACAACTCCGATACACCATGAGCCATAGCTCTGTATTCAGCTTCAACACTAGATCGGGCARCAACAAATTGTTTTTTGCTTTTCCAAGACACAACATTACCTCCTACCAAGGTGCAGTAACTGGAGGTGGATCTTCTATCATCTATAGAACCTACCCAATCAGCATCAGTATAAGCCTCAACCTTGAGATGTCCCTGGTTAGAGTATAGCATTCCTTTACCTGGACACCCATTTAGGTAGGTGAGAATCCTATTGACAGCTTGCATATGTGAAGTTCTAGGACTGCATATTCTGACTCACCATGCTAACATCATAGGCTATATCAGGTCGAGTCAAGCACAGGTAAAGAAGCCGACCAACAAGCCTCTGGTAGACACCCTTGTCTAGAAAAAAATCTGCATCATCAACACTTAGTTTATGATTGGAGTCAATAGGAGTTTCAACTGGCTTACACCCTAGTTTCCCAACCTCATGAAGGAGATCAAGGACATACTTCCTCTGTGAAATGAATATCCCTCCCTTTGACCTTGCCACTTCAATTCCAAGAAAGTATCTGAGATCTTTGATTTCAAATTCAGAAGCAAGGAATGATTTTAGTTGGTTTATCCCAGAGTGATCATCTCTAGTGACAATAATATCATCCACATACACTATCAACAAGGTGAGTAGGCCATTATCCCTTCGTATAAACAAAGTATGGTCCGATTGTGATTGTGTAAACCCAATTTTGAGAATAGCCTTCTTGAATCTATCAAACCAACACCTAGGGGACTGTTTAAGCCCATAAAGAAATTTTCTTAAACGACAAACCTTCCCCTCACTGTTGGGTAAGATTACCCCTGCTAGTAAATCCATGTGTACCTCCTCCTGAAGATCTCCATTTAGGAAGGCATTCTTCACATCCATCTGATATAGAGGCCATGAATAATGAGCAACAAGAGACATAATAACTCGGATAGAGTTCATTTTGGCTAATGGAGCAAAGGTCTCTTGATAAGCAATCCCATACGTTTGGGTATATCCTTTTGCCACCAAACTAGCTTTCTATCTTTCCATTGATCCATCAGCCCGATGTTTAATGGTATATACCCACTTGCAGCCCACTGGAACTTTGCCTTCAGGAAGAGGAACAATCTCCCAGGTATGGTTTTTTAAGAGAGCCTCTATCTCTTGGTTCATAGCATCCTTCCACTGAGGTGATTGAACTGCATCTGAAACATTACGAGGAACAGAAACAGAGGAGATATTAATAACATATGCATGATAGGAGGGTGAAAGAGCATCATAAGAAACATAGGGATGGGGTAGGCAATGCATTTCCTTTTTCCCTTTCTAACTGTAATGGGAAGGTCAAGGTCAGATTGTGAGACATCAGGCTCAATAATAATAGGAGAAGGATGTTTAGGGTTRCTTTCAGAGTTACCTGGAATCGGGTGATTTGATTGTTGTGGACATTCAGCCTTAGGAGTATCCTTCCTTTTATGCCTTATAAACCACTTTTGCCAGGATCGCTGGAGAGGACGAGGAGGAACAKGAATACTGTTATTACAAGGGGAAGACAAACTAGGAATGTCCATAGAGGTAGGAAAAGGAAAACAAAAACGAGTCCAATCTTCACAAACACTCTCCCCCTGAAGAGAAGGACGAATGGACTGAAAATATGGAGTAGACACAAGGAATGTAACATCCTTAGATACGTACCTTCGGCTAGTATGGGGAATAAAGAACTTGTACCCCTTTTGGACTGGAGAGTAGCCCAAAAATATGTATTTGACAGATTTAGGGTCAAGTTTCAAGCGAGAAGGASTCATGTCATGAACAAAGYAGCTACAACTAAAGACTCCGAGAGGCAAACTGAAAATAGGATCCTTAGGAAACAAAAGTTGATGAGGTGATTGAAGAGAAAGGGATCGCGAAGTAAGTCTATTAATGAGATACACTGCTGCTTCAACTGCATCTCCTTAGCATTGTCAGACTGTATTATCTTTATTTGCCTTTCAAATTGTGTTTCAAACATCTTGGAGTAATCATTAATGAACAATATAAAATATTTATAGCAGCCCATACATGGAATAGAGTATGGGCTTCAGACATCAGTGTATATTAAGTTGAAAGCAACACCACTCCTTCTATTACTTGTATGATATATAGTTCTACATTGTTTTGAGAGATGACAAACTTCACATTGCATACTCAAACTAGACTTAGGCTGACATAAGTTTGGAAACAAAAATTTAATGGCCTTAAAAGACACATGACCGAGGCGACAATGCCACAACTTCAAAAAACTTAAATTTTTATCATGACATGACTCAATTTGGCACAATAATCCTTACTCAGAGGTTTAATGAAAAAGGTAAACTCCATCAACTTCATGTCTAGTTCCAATCATGCTCCCCGTTCTCATGTCCTGAAAAACACAATGAGAAGGGAAAAAGGTCACTGAACAGATATGAGATTTGGTAAGAGTGCTAACAGATAAAAGATTCTTATACAAGTGGGGGACATGAAGGACAGAGCTCAGGGAAAGATCACGAGTAAGCTTAACCTCCCCCAAACCAGAGATAGGGGTCTGAGATCCATCAGCTACAGTGATTTTTCCTTCCTCTAGAGCCAACTTATAAGAGGTGAAGTGGGAAGACATACCAATCATATGTGCACTAGCTCTAGAGTCCACAATTCAGGAGCTAGTAGGAGAAGATTGACAAGTAAGTGCAGTACTTGATTTTGCAAAAGCACTGGAAGGATTACTAGGAACTAGTAGAGGTAGAGAGCCCTGACTTCTCAAGCTAAGTCAACAGAATCTTGAGCTTCTCCATCACATCAGAGGAATCATGTGTGGGAGCTTGTACATTAGGAGGGCAATCAGCTCCAACAGTAGCAAGATGAGCTTTACCCTTCTTTGCGGTTTTAAACTTGTCAGGCTTCAAATGTGGATTCAATTTCCAACACCTATCCTTCATATGTCTCGGCCTCTTGCGGTAATCACATACCACACATCTTCATGCTTTTCATTAGTACCTTGTTTGTTTGTACTCGACTTGGACCTTGAAGACATGTAGGTAGAATGATCCATCACTGAGGTCTRCATCATAGCAACCCTTCTACTCTCCTCTCCTCTCCCTGCACTAAGCAGTATGCAGTAGCAAGGGAAACAATATTTGCACTCAAGATGTGTTGTCGGGTAAAATCATACTCACCATTCAATCCAGCCAAGAAGTCAAACACTCGGTTCTTCTCAACATACTTCCGATACTGTTCACCGTCCTCAGGGTTCTTCCATTGCAAGTTCTCCAAATGATCCATTTCTTCCCATAGAGACTGCAAAGATGAGAAGTACATGGCTACAGTCCTCTCCCCCTAACGTATATTATAGGCTTCTCTTTGGAGTTGATGGACTCGGGCTGTACTTTTTGCTTGAGAGTACGTGGATGTAACACGAT